GCCTTGGGCAAAAAGACAGGGTTTTTATATCTTTTAGAACTCTATGTAAGAACGAATAATATTTTGTGCCAACAGGTCTGTATCTGTACTAATGGGTCTGTGCCAATGGGTCTGTACCAACGGGTCTGTACCAACGGGTCTGTGCCAACGGGTCTGTACTAATGGGTCCCACATCACAGGGGTGACAGATTATTATTTGTCACTTTCTATAGTTATATATCTTTAAACCCTAATAACTCGTTAACTATTAACCCGATTGACAAACGATAAAAACTATGCTAAGAAAATCAATATCAAGAATTCTATTAGTAGAATTAGATTTGTACTCCAATTAGGAGTTACACAGAGTTACTTAATAAAAATTTAAAAATACTAATATACTACTAATATAACAATAGTAATAGGCTTACTAATTTCCCTAACTTGGTTAACAGAAGTAGCTATGGTATAATACTACTTGTTACCAGTAGTAATTATACCACAGATATAATCTAATTCTTCACGCTTTCTCTTAACATTACAACTATATAAAATATAGAATTATAGAATATTAATTTAAAATTAATAATTTGTTCTATGTAGTGTTCCTATGAACCTGAACTGAACTGAACTTTGGTCAGGTTCAGGTTCAGGTTCAGTTCAATTATGTTTAATATTGAACTTTTAAGTCAAGTTCATGTTTAGTTCAGGTTTAGTATTGAACTTTTAAGTCAGGTTTATATTCAGTTCAGGTTCAGTATTAAACTTTTAAGTCAGGTTCATGTTCAGTTCAGATTCAGTAATAGTTTATAGTAAAATTTTTTAGAATTTTCAAATTTGGAATTTTTTAAAGAAATCTTTTTTCTTTACTAAGTAAACCTATTTTAAACATCTAAGAAAAGTTGTAGAGGAGTGTCTTGCGATCATAATAGCAGTTAAAACATTAAAATTGGCCTAGTAAATCGCGAGATATAAGTATTTTAGTTCTCACAACTATATATTTTCTTCTTTATATAAATAAAAAAAAAACAAATAGCCGTTAAGACAAAAATACTTATATCTCGCGATTTACTAGGCCGAATTTAATGATTTAACCACTATTTTGATTGAAAGACACTCCTCTACAACTTTAATTAGAAGTTAAAGAGAGATTTACATAGTAAACTTTAAGATCAATAACATTTTGCATAATTTTATTAATAATATTATAAAAAATCATATGATCCTCAAAGTTTTACTAATTAATTATATTTTTATGTTCTAAGTAAACTTGTTCTACACATAAAACTATACTATATCAGTATACGTTTGCATCATAATTTTAAATTTAAGAAAAATATTGTTAATTTTGAAGATTTTGATCAAAAATTCAAAATTAAGCATATATTTCTTAAATTTTATAAATATAAAGTTAACATATACTAATATAATATATTTTTATGTGCAGAACAAGTTTACTTAGAGCATAAATATATAATTAATTAATAAAATTTTGAGGATAATATAATTTTTTATAATTTTATTAATAAAATTATGAAAAACATTATGATCCTCAAAATGTTATTAATTAATTCTATATTTATGCTCTAAATAAACTTGTTTTGCACATAAAAATACATAATATTTGCATACATTAACATTATATTTATAAAATTTAAGAAATATATGTTTAATTTTGAATTTTTGATCAAAGTTTTCAAAATTAACAATATTTTTTTAAAATTTAAAATTATAATACAAACATATGCTGATATAATGTAGTTTTATGTATAGAACAAGTTTACTTATAACATAAAGATATAATTAATTAGTAAAATTTTGAGGATTATATGATTTTTTATAATTTTATTAATAAAATTATGCAAAATGCTATTAATCTTAAATTTTTACTAAATAAAACTCTCATTAACTTCTAATTAAAGTTGTAGAGAAGTGTCTTGTGATCAAAATTACAGTCAAATCATTAAAATCGGCCTAGTAGATCGCAAGATATAAGTATTTTTGTTTTAATAGCTATTTATTTATATAAAAAAATATATATATAGTCGTGAGAACTAAAATACTTATATCTCATGATTTACTAGGCCGATTTTAATATTTTAACTGCCATTATGATCACAAGACACTCCTCTACAACTTTTCTTAGAAATTGAAATAGGTTTACTTAGTAAATAAAAAGATTTTTTTAAAAAATTCTAAATTTAAAAATTCTAAAGACAATAAAAAAAATTTTATTATATTTTATTACTGAACCACTACTGAATTTGAACATGTTCATGAACTTTGAACTGAACTTGAATTGAACCAAAACTTTAAGTTCAGGTTCAGTTCAGATTCATAAATTTAAAGTTTAATTCAGGTTCAGGTTCAATGATCTGCAAATTTTGTGATTTATATTTAGGTTCAGGTTCAGGTTCATTGAACCTGAACCTGAACTAAACTGAACCTAGAAACTCTAAATTCTACTACTAGCATATATAGATAATACAGTGTAGCACTTAAATATTTAGAAACTTTACAAACCATTTTTAATGATACTTTTGCTTTGTAAAAACTCAATAATATTAAAGTTAACCTAACCAAATCTGATTTTTTTCATATTACTTCTAAAAACTCTAAAGCACCAAATTATATAATTCTTTACAACAATCAAATAATTACTTCCACAAAACCTAAAGATATAATTAAATACCTAAATATTTTTTATGATAGCAAAGAATTAACTAAACCAACTTTTAATATACTATACAACAAAATTAAAAATTTCTTACTTCTTATTAAATATAAAAAATTACTGCTTTTCTAAATATCTTCTCTTTTTAATCTTATTCCTTAAACTGTAGACAATTTCAGGCAAATTTTCCTAGAAAATTGCTATAAATTTGTTTATGATTTACTTTTTTTAAAATTTAAAATATTTAAATAAAATTTTTTTTGATAATATTTGAAAATAATGATTAGGGGCGTGCCATTTATTACCTGATTTTTACCATGGATACATGGGGTCCACTAGTGATCACATATATATATATAATATATATTAATAGCCACCGAGCAAAGACAGATTACGGATCATATGATAGTACAAAATTTTATTGGTCAGATAAAAAATATATATATGAACATACTCACACAAAGTTACAGATCATAAAGTCAAAAGTTATGTAGTTCGTTAGCCAACAGGCTTATTTATTTTTTTTTATACGTTTAAAAACTACACTTAATAGTTCTAACTAGATAAACTAATATTAATTATGGATTCTAACATCTATTAATTCCCATTCATTATCAGATTGTATATCATGCAAATTCAAAATCTCATCATCTGACAAATTACAGTCAACTACATCTTCGGCAACTCTAAAGTCTGATGAGGCAGTAGCTAGTGATATCTCATCAACTTGCTTTTGAGGTCGACCACGTTTGGATAGATGTTGCTAACACTTGTAATACGTAATAAACCTTAAGGTAGGGAAATACTTACCACACTTTCTGCAACATAATCGATAGTATGTTTCCTTTGAAATTGATAGGCATGAACTATTATATGGCAGAATCTTTAATTTGTCAAAGTATTGGAGGGTGTGTATTGGATCGATAAAATGTCCATTTTTTCCTTTGGCGATTGGGGGAAGAAATCTTTCATTTTGGTCCAGTAAAAGTGCTGCATCAGGAGCTCTGTATTCATACCAATATTGATGATTCTTACATTTTTTTAGATCCAATGAATATCGATATAACTGGGCATGACGCTCAATCCATTCCCATGTTGGGATACAATATCACCAAATGGTTGACTAATTTGATCGACATAGTGTACTGTTACGGGTTTACCATATATATCATCACTATTCCAAAGTTCACATAATCTATTTTCTGAAAATTAAAAATTACACTGCACTAACTCTTCATCTACAACATTTTCTTGAGAATCCAGATGCACACCATATTCATCTATAGGTAGAGTAATACTAGCAAGTTTTTCTGATAAAGAAGCCATGCTCCTTTCCACAGGATTATAAGCACTTTGATACGGCGCATGCGTGCGAACAGTTAAATAATCAAGATCTAGAGCCTAAAATAAGTTACAATATTCAATAATATTTTTAAAGTGTTTTGGATTCTCATCGGGCCCCCATCATGAGAAGAACCCAAATCAGTTTAACTTCATTTTCTTGCAATAAAACAGAGATAAAATCTTGGTTGTTAACAAGGCTTAATAGATCAGCCATATGTGTCAATGAAGATGTGCCCACGAAATATTCAGACCTAATAAAGATAGCGAGTTGTCCAGAGCAAAGCATAGTATTTGAATCATTAGGATCAATAAGAAGGTATACAGAAGGTATAAGTTTCATTTTACTTCCTTTAGAAAAATCATGATCTTTAATAGTAACTAGTTCATTTATTGATTGCATAGCCTTAAATATATAGCCGACCACAGGAATATCTAAACCAATTTTTGCTTTGTCATTTTGGGAAATAACAACAGTATCACTTGCAAATACCTCCACAAAAACTCGTGCTGCTTTAACAGATGCCAAACAATAGTGTTTATCGATATGTTGTCTCATATCGGTTCTTGCTACTGATGCTAGCCCGACTTTTGCAGGATGGTGATGATGGCGGGCTGCGAATGTATGTTTGTGTCGAGGCTCCAAATATGTAGACAAACATTGACATGAGAGATAGATATTATATCTTTCCTCTAATGCTTCATGCAAATGTTTAATTGTACGAACTTTAATTATTGTCTTTTGTCTTTTAGCATAAGCGGGTCTGAATTCTATACAATCATGGATATTGTCTCAAAGATCTAGATTTAGTATAGTTGCTAGTGGTCATCCAGGTTTGTCATACTGTTCAACAATACTTTCATCATTGAGTTGTTTTTGTTTTTTTGCCCTAAGTTTAGCTTGAGCTTCTGCATGATGTTTAAGTTTTCCTAGCCTTTTTTCACTTACTTTAATAACAATTCAGTTCTCTTCAATTTTGGCTAATAATTCTTTTTTTATATCTTGATTACTGATAAGCTTAATTGTTTGTTCACATTCAGATATTAGTTGAGTTGCTTCTTTGATTTTGACTATTGCATCTTTTTGACCTACTGCATTTTTTGCAATAGTATCGGTATTATCAAACGGTCGTGGTGAAATTACTGAAGTAGATGAGGACAAAGCCAATGTGGATGTCGATACACTATTAGAGTTGGTGTTTACTATAAAGTTATGATGTGTGCAAATTGTACTAGCAACCGTTGTTAAGTATGATCAGATCTTTTCATGAATGACAGTTTCATTTTCATTTTTTATTTTCTTCCATGATGTTTAGGCTTTACTTAATAATTTTTGTTTATTGAGGTAGGGTTGCAAAGGGTCGTCTGCTTATAATAGGCATAAGCATTGGCGAATTCTTGATACAAATCAGATGGAGACTTATAGAATAAGTGCGTATCAAAATTAGGAAGTTTTAAAAAACTCTGTATTTTTTTTTTTATGGTGAAAGAAAAATATAATTTATATAGATTTTGTTTTTATTTGAGATAGTTTAAATTTAAAGATACTTAATTGATTTTAAATAGAGATTGAAACCTTTATTTATTATAGATAAATATGTTTCTTTTAATATACAAAAATAATTTTAAAATTACAACGGATTACAATGACTACAAAGTCTTGCAAGAATTGCGATATCTCGCCTTATCAATTCAAATTTAGAAATTACTATTTTCCTTCGCTATTGCATTCCTTGATAAGTAGAATTATTATTTTGTTTAACTTTATCAGGTGACCAAAAAAGTTGAACCATGGTACCTATTAAGTTTATGGACAATGGCGTGCATATATATGTATACACATGCATCCTTATGTGCGCCTACCCACCCCAGGTCAATGGTATCATCTTTTGATCATATTGTTGAACTTTTTTTTCGCCCTGATAGAGTTGTTTTCTTTTATTATTATTATTATTTTTTAAATTTGTTTTTTGTATTATTAATTTTCGTCTAACTGTATTAGGCGTATTCTTTTTTCTGAACAATAAAATTACTTGGTGAGTTGTTTAAATCTTCAATTGTAAAGAAATTGTTATCTTTGATATTGTTTTGGTTTGATTGCGGGCCTTTTTATATTAAGATTGACAAAAATAGGTGATCAAATTTAATGGAACCTGCTAATAAAATTAATTACTAATCAATTGATTTAGAGTAGGGTTCTTTATACTAAATTTGATCCAAAATACGAGCTTGAACTGGCTGTATATTTAGCTATTATAAGAGCTGATTAACTGAACGTAACGATAACATTCCTAGACAAACCTTAATATATAGATGATTCAGACATCTATTTTACAGAACTGAGTTCTTGTAATTGGGTGTCGCAAAGCGAAAACCTGTATTTGTGAGTTTTTCGAAATTAATTTTATAGAAACGGACTTATCAAACATATGATTTATTAAATAGTGTTTATTATAGAATTTTTTTATAATATCCATCAGAAATCTGATCACAGTTTCTGAAAAGCAGAGCCGGCAAAAACTGAAATTACAGGCTTTTGCTTTGCAGCACTCAATTATAGATGTTATAGTATGGGTCACTTTCTAATCAGAATTGCGATTACAGACTTCCTGTGAACTGTCGCATCCAAGTATTTCAACATAAGTGAATAGTAATCTATGTTTATTGCATAATGAAAAATAACAATTAAATTAAAACCAAATGCTCATTTTTCTTAACAGGAGTAGATATAAGTGCTGCCAAAAAAAACCCTGCCATTGGGTTTTTAATGTTCAGTTTGTTTTTTGGGTATCTAGAGAAAACCTATCATTGGGCTTTAAATTATATTTTGTCAAAATATAATTAAAAGCTGATGATAGATTTTCTGTAGACAGTACTTAGAAAACAAATTAAATATTGAAAGTTTAATGAGAGGTTTTTCCTTGGTGGCATTTATATATACTATCTCAGAAATTGTAGACTTTTTTGTACTAACAATTTTTATAGTAATGATATCAAATTCCAGATTGATTCATCAAAGCTTAGCCAGCATTAAGCAGTACTAGCTAACCAAGCATGTAGTCAGCGCATTTTTACCAAATAAATAGGCTATAATTTCATAGTAAAATTATTAGTGATTTGGGCAAAGTTGATTAAGAGTATTCCCAAGCAGCTTCCTTAGTGTAATTAACTAGTTATTAGGGTGCTGTTTAAATATATATAGATGTAACTGATCTTGGTGGTTATGCTAGGGTCATTTCGGATAATTGAAGAACAACTTGTTAAAAATTCATTATATGAAACATGGATTCTAAATTTTAGCCAGAGCAACTCTTTAAAAATAAAGGTAGTTTGCGCTCCAGATTATATTCATTAAAATGGGAGCTCACTTGGTTGGTTTAATTTGGACTAGTTAATGTTTCGGGCGAAATTCAAACATTTCACCAAATCTGAATCTGAAATTCAGGCAATACTAGTTTCGCCTAACATGCAAATTTCTGAAATATACAACAAAATCCGTAACTACCCATATTTTAGACTCAATCTGAAGAGTCCGAAGCTATGATTGGTCATCTTCAAAAAAATACACCAATTATGTGAAATTTTTTTGTTTATAGTTTTGTAATTTATATGTTAATTAGTCAATTCCACATTCGCTGCCACTGTTAAACCTCCCAAAACTAATATGCATGGTGGACAGATCTTGTATCAGTATTGAGAGGTTATCAGATTTGATAACATTATAAGCTACTAGATTCATACTTTTGAACTTCCCAAAACCGATCCTGTCAAATCTAATAAAAAATTAATCTATTAAGTCTCTTGCTACATATGAATCTAATAACATATGATGACCTCTTAATACTGATACAAAATCTGTTTATCATGCATATCGGTCTTGGGAGGTTTAGATTAATGAATATGTGTAAAGACTATTAATGCACTTTGAATATATATATAAATAACTAGGGTCACAATATATTCCATTAAAGAATTGAGTGTTTCATTAAAAGATACATACTGTTAAAACTCTCAAAACCGATATGCATAGACAGAGTTTGTATCAATATTGAGAGGTCATCAGATTTGAAAACATTATAAACTATTAGATTCATGTAGCAGAAACAGATTTGTGGATTAATTTTTTATGAGATTTGACAGGTTATTAACTTTGACAGGATCAGTTTTTGGAAGTTTATTGAAAAAACAATTTCGCTCGAAACATTAGAACTAGTCAAAATTTTGTTTCAATCTAATAAAGTGCTTAAGAATATTTTAAGTTTGATACAACCAACTATAATTTGTATTCTGGTTTGGAAATTTAAAAATTTCTTTGCATAAAGTTCAATTAAAATTTATTTTTTACAGGATAATTTCTACCAGTATTGAACAATATTAACTAATAGAGCTATCGCTATATCAAAATTATTGGCTAGTTATTTTACTTAATGAATAAGATAAGATTTATAATAAAATTTTTAAAATCTTCAATAAAATTAATTTATTCACTAGAATTCAATATATTTCGATCTAGAATTTTAAAAATTTTATTTATAAAATATCTGTAATTTTATTGGCTTCAAACCTGGATTTGGTCCAGATTTTTGATTATTTATTTATATATGATTACACCATACATGAATAGGTAAGACTCTTAGTTAAAAAGAATTACGTGATAAATGGTATGCCTCTAAGTAATAAGAAAGGTGTTATCAAAGGGTATAAATATAGCTAAAGGTGAAAAAAAGATTTGTAAATAGTTTTTAAAACTCGTTCAAATAAAAAAATTCTTTTAAAAATTTTGATGTAATTATATATACTGTAGAAGCAATATCTAAGTTATTTTACAAATTAAAAAATAGCCACAGAGAATCTTAAAAGATATTTTTTATAATTTAGTATGATATTTATAATTTTTCAACTATCATTCTAATTATATGAAATGGTTTTATAGTAGCAAAAATATAAACATATCAATATTTTCAAAAAAAAATAAAGTCTTTATATAAGGAACTTCATTGAATTCTAAATTAGAATTAGTATCAGAAATACTAATACAAATTAATGCAAAAAAAAAATTTTTTTTTGATAGCCTTTTTTTTTTAAAAAAAAAAAAATAGCTTTATCTTATGATTCATGCCAAAATCAATTTGCTTCCTTTTCTAATTTTTAAAAATTTATTAATACTAAAACTATCCTTTATAAATGTGGTACAACTATAGTAAAGACTATCAAGTTTCTAATTTTCAAAAACATTCTCAAAGTAATAATTATACATATTATACAAATAATTAACCAAGTATAAAAGCTTTTTTTTCAAAAAGTGAATTAAAAGAAAATGATAATGATAATAATAAACTAAATAATGAGAAAAATAGTAAACAATGTACTTTTATATGTCAAGATTTTAATGATTTGGAATATGTTAATTATGTTATAAATAGTCTAGCTAGTTTTGGTGATGATAAAAAGCTTGAAATTGTAGCAAAAGAACTTTTTTCAGAAAAATTTCCAGAAAATGCTTCTTTTACATCAGTAAATTTATATGTACGAAATATTGCGCAAAAATTTGCGATATGCAAAAATAATGCAAAAATGCGCAAAATATTTCGAAAACTTTCGCAAAA